GTGGAAAAAAGATGTAAAATATATGAGGGATGATACATCTAGCTGTTCTTCAAGCAGTTATCTAATTCTAGTTGCTTGGTTGATGGTGCGCTCATCCAAAGTAGATATTAATCTTCCACTATATGATATTTTAATGTAATTTTTATAACATATGTTATTCTTATTCAATAATATGTTAGAAGTATTTGTATAATGCGCGAATTTTGTGCGTCTTACCGAAAATTTTGAAAACAATACGTGTATAAATATTACAAATACGTACGTACAAGTACAATACGACTATTGTATGTTTGCTTTTTAAAAAAACGTGTGACGTGTATAGAACACGAATGTATTTTTGAAAAATACGTACGTACATACATATAAATATTTACATTAATATATATGCATATATGTAAAAGACTATAGCCGCGCATTTATACTATTTATTAAAGACAATTTTTTTTTTATAAAAAAAACAGTAAAATCGCCCGGCTATACTACTTTTAAAAGAAACCCCAGCTATTTGTCACCACGTGTCAACACAGTTTTATTTTTGGGAGTTTCACTAAAACACCCAAAATAGAGGTTGAAATTATAAAAAAATCCAACACCCAAAACACTTTATAAACACACCCAAAACCCATCATTACACACACTCAAAACCCATTTATAAACACGCCCAAAAAGTTGACTTTGGGGTTGATTTTGGGTGTGTTTCTATGTTTAAATAGTGCTTGGGTTTTTTTATAAATACATGTCTAGGATTGTGTTTATTTATAAATTTGTATTTATTTTTTAAATAAATTAAAAAACACGGAGTATAGCCGTGCGGCGGCACTTTTTTTAGTGAAAAAAAGGATGACCCTCTTCCTCTAATGCGCCACGTGTCCAAAAAAAGGTATAGCCGACCGGCTATACTGTTTTTTATTAAAAAAAATTCAAAGTATAGCCGCCCGGCTATACTTTTTAAATACACTGTGTTTAAAATGGGCTATTCCATTTAATACAAAAATTAAAAAATTAAAAAAGGACCCACCTAGTTGCATTAGTTTGTCCCTTATAAATATTAATTTGCTAGTTTCAACATATCCGAAGTAGATATTAAACTTTCACTATATGATATTTTAATGTAATTTTTATAACATATGTTATTCTTATTCAATAATATGTTAGAAGTATTTGTATAATAAGCAAATTTTGTGCGTCTTACTGGAAATTTTGAAAACAATACGTGTATAAACATTACAAATACGTACGTACAAGTACAATACGGCTATTGTATGTTTGTTTTTTTAAAAACGTGAGACGTGTATAGAACGCGAATGTATTATTGAAAAGTACGTACATACATACATATATAATATATATATATATGTAAAAGACTATAGCCTCTCGTCTATACAATTTATTAAAGACAATTTTTTTATAAAAAAAACAGTAAAACCGCCCGGCCATACTAATTGTAAAAGAAATTAGACAAAAATAGAGTGTAGCCGTGCGGCTATACGATTTACTAAAGAATAAAACTGAGGAGTTAAAAAAAACTTTTAAAAAATGCGTATAGCCGTGCGGCAAAACTATTTTTAATATTAAAAAAAAAGAGGAAACCCCAGCTATTTGTCTCCACGTGTCAACACAGTTTTATTTTTTAAATAAATTAAAAACACGGCGTATAGCCTTGCGGCTGTACTATTTTTTTAATTTAAAAAAGGATGGCCCTCTTCCTCTAATGTGCCACGTGTCCAAAAAAAAGGATAGCCGCAGACTATACGGTATTTTTTTTAAAAAAAGCTGGGGCTATTCCATTTAATACAAAAATTTAAAATAAATAAAAAAAGACCATCTTAGTTGCATTAGTTTGTCCCTTATAAATATTAATTTGCTAGTTTCAACATATCCGAAGCAGATATTAACATCCCACTATGTAATTTTTATAACATATGTTATGAAAGACAATTTTTTATTATAAAAAAAAAGGGGTAAAATTGCCCGGCTACACTATTTTTAAAAGAAATTAAACCAAAATTGAGTATAACCGCTCGGCTATACTATTTACTATGGAATAAAACACAGCAGTTAAAAAGAATTTTAAAAAAATGAGCACAGCCGTCCGGCAATACTATTTTTAATATAAACAAAGAGGAAACCCCAACTATTTGTCGCCATGTGTCAACATAGTTTTATTTTTTGAATAAATTAAAATCACAGAGAATAGCCGTTCGGTTGTACTAATTCTTTTATTTTTTTTAAAGGATGACCCTTTTCCTCTAATGCGCCACATGTCCAAAAAAAAGCATAGCAATAAAAAAATTCGTAGGTGCTATACTTTTTAAATACATTGTGTTTAAAAGGGTCTATTCCATTTAATACAAAAATTAAAAAAAATTAAAGAAGACCCTCCTAGTTGCATTAGTTTGTCCCTTATAAATATTAATTTGTTAGTTTCAACATATCTGAAGTAGATATTAACCTTCCACTATGTAATTTTTATAACATATGTTTTGAAAGACAATTTTTTATTATAAAAAAAACAGTAAAACCCCCTGGCTATAATATTTCTAAAAGAAATTAAACCAAAATCGAGTATATTAAGGAATAAAACACAGTAGTTAAAAAGAATTTTTTTATAATGAATATAGCCGCCCGGCTATACTATTTTTAATAGAAACAAAGAGGAAACCCGAGCTATTTGTCGCCACGTGCCAACACAGTTTTAAGTTGGGAGTTTCACTGATATACCCAAAATAGGGGCTGAAATTATAAAAAAACCCCACATGAAAAACACTTTATAAACACACCAAAAACCCATTTATTAAATAACAAATTAGTGTTGAAGTTCCAATAAATTACAACACTGCCACTATCAAGCCCAACAGAAAAAAAACTCAAAAAGTACCCAAACCCAGCCTAATTTTTATAAAAAAAAAAAGCCCAAAGTATGGAATGCACTTTAGAAACACACCCAAAATCCATTTACTACATAATAAATGAGTGTTGATGTTCCTATAAATTACATATTTGCCATTGATTAACTTAAAACAAGCCCAATACAAAAGACACACAAAAAAACCCAAAACAAGCACAGCGAGCCTGAAATACATTGTTAATACCATATCATAGAAGTACATTGATAATACCATGTCATAGAAGTATATTGTTAATACCATCTCATACAAAAAACTCAAAAAACCCACAAAAATGCCCAACAAGACATCCGATATCCTTTATAGAAACCACCTCGAATTGTTCACAGTTTCACCAGAAACAATTGCAAAGGCAAAAGGAAATACCTTTACAAGAAGGAAAAAAAAAACACTATTAATACTGTGTCATAACACTATCTTCTTATGCATATCATAAACTTCAAGTGCATAGCTATATATAGAGCAAAATATAAAGCATGCTTTGTTACTGAAAATCTGTTAATACTATGCCATAAAAGTACACTGTTAATATTATGTCATAGAAGTTCACTGTTAATATTATGTCATAGAAATCATCTCAGTTGCAGGGTATGAACAGTATAACAACTATTCATACTACTTACTGGATGTCAACAACAATGCCATTTCATTTGCATAATAGGTACGATAAAGAATCCAAATAGTACCAAACATCAAAACCAAGTTAACACTAAATAGTGTTTTACAAATTAAAATCACAAAGAACCTAGATCACTGAGAATCTAAATCCAAGAACAATAATTATCATTTTTCTTGTCTTTTATTCAATTTTCTCAGTAACCAAACATTAGATAGCATACACAAATAGAGCTAAACAAGTCAACAACAATGAGAAAAACAAGCATAATGAATTCTAAATCTCTAATTTCAAATATTATATCATTATAAAATAGAAAATGCAATATAGTAATGACTCATATTGACTAATTAAATATTTTACGCCAAAAACTCATTCCAAAATTCTAACTACCACCAACTCTAGCATCATCGGCGCTCCAAAGAATGAAGAATCAAATTGAATCACCATATCATCATTGCCAAAATCTCAATTCAATCATACACTAAGCAAACACTGTTAGTATTATGTAAGAGAAATCAACTCAATTGCAGGGTATGAACAGTATAACAATTGTTCATACCACTTACTAGAAGTTAACAAATGTTCATACCACTTATAGATAACAAATTATATACTACAAATCAACTTACCAGCTTTGGTCATTCCAATACCACTATCAATAATAATCAAGGTATTGTTGTTTTTGTCAGGGATGAAGAGCTTTGGCTGACCATTGGGCTTGCTCTTGTCAATTATACTCTCAAATCTAATCTTGTCAATCATTGCCAAAATCTCAATTCAATCATACACTAAGCAAACACTGTTAGTATTATGTAAGAGAAATCAACTCAATTGCAGGGTATGAACAGTATAACAATTGTTCATACCACTTACTAGAAGTTAACAAATGTTCATACCACTTATAGATAACAAATTATATACTACAAATCAACTTACCAGCTTTGGTCATTCCAATACCACTATCAATAATAATCAAGGTATTGTTGTTTTTGTCAGGGATGAAGAGCTTTGGCTGACCATTGGGCTTGCTCTTGTCAATTATACTCTCAAATCTAATCTTGTCAAGAGCCTACAAATAGAGCATGACATAATGAGCCAAAGGAAATTCAATTCAAACAAAAACATTATTGAAAAAACTTATTCTCTACATAGCTTTTCCACATCAATTCAGCAAGAGACAAGAACACTAAAGACTTTTTATAAAGAAATTTGAAAAGCATGCAAATAAACCTTCTAAGGAAATACCTGATAATTAATTATTTTAAATTATGAGAATATTTGAAAATTAGAATAGAAAACACTCAATTTTAGGGTGAGCCAAACACGGAATCTGAAGGCCATGATTTTCTATGAAAGGCTTGCCTTAGTGAACAGGAGATCTGGGTTGAAAACATATAAACCATAGTATTTCGTTGAAAGAACTGATAGTGAATTACATGTCTACTAAACTGAAATCCTAAATCTAAACGCTAGACATCGAAAAACTACATATCCAGAACAGAGCAGAACCCACCACACTTCAAGAACTTGTAAACTTGGTCACCGCCTTAGTCCCTTCAGACACCGCGTGCTTAGCGAGCTCACCAGGAAGCACAAGCCTCACAACAGTCTGGATCTCCCAAGAAGTAATAGTCGGCTTCTTGTTGTACCTTGCAAGCCTGGAAGACTCCTGGGCGAGCTTATCAAAGATGTCGTTGATGAAGCTGTTCATGATGCCCATGGCCTTGCTGGAGATCCCAATATCAGGGTGAACGTGCTTCAGCACCTTGAAGATATAGATCTTGTAGGTCTCTACGCTCTTCTTCGATCTCTTCTTCTTCTTATCTCTGACGGTGGCTCCGGCTTCCTTGGGGAGCTTATTGCAGGCCTTCGGCTTTTTCTCGGCCGGGGCTTTCTCAGCCACAGTCGACTTCTTCTCCTCCACTGGCTTCTTCTCGGCGGGCTTCTTCTCAGCTTTGGGAGCCATTGGAGTTGTGAGAGAAAAGTTAGGGTTTGAGAATTTGGGAGTTTTCAAAACGAAAGGGATGCGATTCGATTAGAGAGAACAAGAGATTAAGATGCTTTGTTTGAGAATCAAAGTGGTGGGATGGATTGTTTATATAGATGAAAGTAGGATCTGCTATGTAACGGAGATTGTCGTTGGTCTTGTGTTTGTCCATGGCTTTGAGACTGTTTGGTTTACTTTGAAGGCATAGAGAGGGAAGAATGGAGAGAACAGAGGAGAGATGGTGGTTTGAAGCAGGATAGGGGCTTGAGGCTTCAAACTTGAGGTTGTCAAATATGAGGGAAGCTTCAAACGAGATCCAAAACTAATTTAATGCTAAAAAGGGTAATAAAGATATTTCATCTTATTAATTAAATTAAAATATATACAATTGTTAATTTTTGGGTTTATTTTGGGTGTGTTTCTATGTTTTAAATAGTGTAGGGTATATTTATAGTTTCATGTCTAGGATTGGGTATTTCACTAATTTTGTATTTTAAGTTTTGATAAAATTAAAATCACATAGTATAGCCGTGCAGCCGTACGGTTTTTTTTTTTATATTTTAAAAAGGATGACCCTCTTCCTCTAATATGCCACGTGTCCAAAAAAAAAAAGAAAAGCATAGCAATAAAAAAATTCTTAGGGGCTATACTTTTCAAATACATTGTGTTTAAAAGGGGCTATTCCATTTAAAACAAGAACGAAAAAAATTAAAAAAGGACCCTCCTAGTTGCATTAGTTTGTCCCTTATAAATATTAATTTGCTAATTTCAACATATCCGAAGTAGATATTAACCTTCCACTATGTAATTTTTATAACATATGTTTTGAACGACAATTTTTTATTATAAAATAAAAAACAGTAAACCCGCCCGGCTATACTATTTTCAAAATAAATTAGAGAAAAATCGTGTATAGCCGTGCGGCTATATGATTGACTAAAGGAATATAACACAGCAGTTAAAAAGAATTTATAAAAAATGAGTACAGCCGACCGGCTATACTATTTTTAATATAAACAAAGAGGAAACCCTAGCTATTTGTCACCACCTTTCAACACAGTTTTATTTTTTTGAATCAATTAAAATCACAGAGTATAGCCGTGCGGCTGTACGTTTTTTTAAAATTATAAAAAAAAAGGATGACCCTCTTCTTCTAATGCGCCACGTGTCCAAAAAAAAGCATGGCCATAAAAAAATTCGTGGGGCCATACTTTTTAAATACATTGTGTTTAAAAGGGCTATTCCATTTAATACAAAAATTTAAAAAGGAGCCTCCTAGTTGCATTAGTTTGTCCCTTATAAATATTAATTTGCGAGTTTCACTATATCCGAAGTAATATTAACCTTTCACTATGTAACTTTTATAACATATGTTATTAAAGACAATTTTTTATTATTATAAAAAACAGTAAAACCGCTCGGCAATACTATTTTTTAAAGAAATTAGACAAAAATCGAGTATAGCCGTGCGGCTGCACTATTTACTATGGAATTAAGCAAAGAGTTAAAAAGAATTTTTTAAAAAATGAGTACAGCCGGTCGGCTATACTATTTTTAATATAAACAAAGAGGAAACCCCTTCTATTTGCCGCCACGTGTCAACACAGTTTTATTTTTGAATAAATTAAATACAAATTTAGTCATATACCCAATTTTAGACATAGTCTTATAAAGAAACCCTATACTATTTAAAAACTATAAACACACCCAAAAAAAACCCAAAAATCGCAGCTGTCAATTTTTTTAAAATTAAATAGCTATTTTTTAGTTTATTTGTGTGTGTAAAATACCTATATTGCCTTTGTACTATGGATTTGAGAGAGAAAAAGTAAATCTATGCCAAAAACCAAATCTGCCAAAAAAAATCAAATCTGCCAAAAAACCAAATCAGATTTTATTTTCTCCTTTCTTGCTGGTGTTTTATCGATGTTGGAGCAAGAGGAGCTTCCATTGAAGCTCAATCTCAGGTCCAACTATATTCTTCATCTATCTTCTACAATTTTTAATATTTCATCTTCGATTTCTTGTTCTAAAATCGTGCTTATATTGATTTTTTTTTTTCCGGATTGTTTGGAACCTTGAACGAACCTCAATCAGATGCTCTTAGCTCTACTCATCATCTTCAAGCTCTACTCCTCTTTCACCATGTCATTGTCGTCGTCATCATCATCATCATCTTTATTGTCGTCGTCATCGTTTGGTTTGGAGACTTGAGATTTTTGATCTTTTGCTTCAATTATGTGTTTCTCTTCATATTTTAATTGATTTTCGAAATGTATTTTAAGTTTTGATGATTGATTTATCCATTGTTACTATTTCAGTTATGGATCTCATTTTTGTTTAACAATGTACTTCTATGACAGAGTATTAACAATGTCATTTTTTAACATAATAGTATTAACAATATGGGCTCGGCTTGTTTTGAGTTGGTCTAGTTTGTTCTTTCTTCTTTTCTTTGGTGGACATGTATTAGAAATAGTAACAAGACAAACATTAATCAATATGACAGTAAACTAGCAGTGTTATTACCTTAGACTGGAAGCCATTAATCAACATGACAGTAAACTAGCAATGTTATTACCCTAGATTAGAACATTATAGCCATTAATCAACATGACAGTAAACTAGCAATGTTATTACCCTAGATTAGAACATTATAGCCATTAATTAACATGACAGTAAACTAGCAATGTTATTACCCTGGACTAGAACATTACAAAATAGCAGTGTCATTACTCTATACTAGAACATTACATGGGTAGACATGCATTAGAAATAAGATGTCATAGAAAACTAGCAGTGTTATTACCTTAAACTGGAACATTACATGGGTAAATATGAATTAGAAATAGGATATCATAGGAAACTAATAGTGTTATTATCCTAGACTAGAACATTACATGGGTAGACATGCATTAAAAATAAGATGTCATTGGAAACTAGCAGTGTTATTACCCTAGACTGGAACATTACAGCCATTAATCAACATGAGAGTAAAATAACAGTGTTATTACCATAGACTGAAACATTACAGCCATTAATCAACATGACAATAAAAGTGTGGAACATTACAATCATTAATCAATATGACACGTTAATAAAGCTACAGTTTTCAAGACATCTTTTTGTAATGAATTGTTTGGGTTTTTTTATAAAATTGGGCTGGGCTTGTTTTGGGTGCATTTTAAGTTTTTTTTGTTGGGCTTCTTTTAAGTTGATCAATGGCAGTCATGTAATTTATAGGAACTTCAACACTAATTTCTTATGTAGTAAATGAATTTTGGGTGTGTTTCTAAAGTGCATTCCATGTGGGGTTTTTTTATAATTTCAGCCTCTATTTTGGGTATATTAGTGAAGCTCCCTAAATTAAAATAAAAGAATATAGCCGTGCGGCTGTACAATTTTTTTTAAAAAAAAAAATTGATGGCCCTCTTCCTCTAATGCGCCAGGTGTCCAAAAAAAAAGCATAGCCATAAAAAAAATCGTAGGGGCTGTACTGTTTAAATACATTGTGTTCAAAAGGGGCTATTCCATTTAAAACAAAAATTAAAAAAAATTAAAAAAGGACCCTCCTAGTTGCATTAGTTTGTCCCTTATGAATATTAATTTGCTAGTTTCAACATATCCGAAGTAGATATTAACCTTCCACTATGTAATTTTTATAACATATGTGTTTTGTAAGACAATTTTTTATTATAAAAAAAAAGAGTAAAACTGCCTGGCTATACTATTTTTAAAATAAATTAGACCAAAATAGAGTATAGCCGCGGCTATATGATTGACTAAGCAATAAAACACAGCAGTGAAAAAGAATTTTTAAAAAAATGAGTACCGCCGTCCGACTATACTATTTTTAATATAAACAAAGAGGAAACCCTTGCTATTTCTCGCCAAGTGTCAACACAGGTTTATTTTTTGAATAAATTAAAATAAAAGAATATAGCCGTGCGGCTGTACAATTTTGTTTTTTAAAAAAATAAAAATTGATGACCCTCTTCCTCTAATGCGCCAGGTGTCCAAAAAAAAGCATAGCCATAAAAAAAATCGTAGGGGCTATACTTTTTAAATACATTGTGTTTAAAAGGGGCTATTCCATTTAAAACAAAAATTAAAAAAATAAAATAAAAAAGGACCCTCCTAGTTGCATTAGTTTGTCTCTTATAAATATTAATTTGTGAGTTTCAACATATCCGAAGTAGATATTAACCTTCCACTATGTAATTTTTATAACATATGTGTTTTGTAAGACAATTTTTTATTATAAAAAAAACAGAGTAAAACCGCCTGGCTATACTATTTTTAAAATAAATTAGACCAAAATAGAGTATAGCTGCCCGACTATACGATTGACTAATCAATAAAACACAGCAGCGAAAAAGAATTTTAAAAAAAATGAGTACCGCCATCCGGCTATACTATTTTTAATATAAACAAAGAGGAAACCCTTGCTATTTCTCACCAAGTGTCAACACAGTTTTATTTTTTGAATCAATTAAAATACGGAGGATAGCCGTCCGGCTGTACTTTAAAAAAAAAAGAAAAAAGGATGGCCCTCTTCCTCTAATGCGCCACTTGTCCAAAAAAAAGCATAGCCATAAAAAAATTCGTAGGGGCTATACTTTTTAAATACATTGTGTTCAAAAGGGGCTATTCCGTTTTTAAAAAGATTAAAAAAAAAATTAAAAAAGGATCCTCCTAGTTGCATTAGTTTGTTCCTTATAAATATTAATTTGCAAGTTTCAACATATCCAAAGTAGATATTAACCTTCCACTATGTAATTTTTATAACATATGTTATTAAAGACAATTTTTTATTATTAAAATAAAAAAAAGAGTAAACCCGCCCGGCTATACTATTATTAAAAGAAATTAGACCAAAGTATAGCCGTGCGGCTATACGATTCACTAAGGATTTACAGCCATGTGGCTATACGATTTTGAATACAAACAAAAAGGAAACCCCGGCTATTTGTCGCCAC